AGAGAGAGAGAGAGAGAGAGAGAGAATCGACTGACAGCGCGGCGACACTTTCACGATAATGACGTGCTCAATCTCTCGCGAAACGGGACCAAAAACTGTCGAGGTATTTGCTACACGCGAGAGACAGTATAGTATCCCGATCGGCAGACCTGTCACGTACTTCACGATCGAGTTGTTCGACTCGCGTGTCGCTCCAACACCGAGTAATTTGTGCCGGCGTAATTTATGCAAGCGCCGGCTATGTGTTTCCACGGCACAACAACCGCACGCGGATTCGCGTTGCGATTTTTCATTCGCGCATTCCCGGTGTAGTTATTTAATGACAAGAGAGCAACGTGAACTGGAAGTTTTTGACGTGTTAATTATGGTGTTAGTGATATAATCTTCTGTTTAAAAAGTGAGATGGAGATTTTAAATCTTCTTTAAAATCGCGACAGATGTAGAACTTCTTTTTTAGAATTACGATAGATTTAGATAAGAGTTAGAATCGCGACTGATTACTTTCGACTACCGATTTCAATGCATTTATACGACGCGTACGAATAAATATTTGCAAGTGCATTTAGAATTTTATAATTGGAACAAAATTCACGACGAGGATTTCGAAAGTTGGGAAAAGATATAAATATCCTTCAAAGTAAAAATTGAAACAACGTAGAATGGAACTCGCAATATTTATTTCTAGATCGCCCACGGGATTCGCAAGGAATGAAATTTTCACTGGTCGCAGTCTTCGAAGAACAAACAAGATATAAATATCCATCAGATCAATTACTATCTCTGCAGGGTTAAAAAAAGAAAAGAGGAATTCTTCACAATTATATTGGTTTCACCTACGTAAAGCTGTACGATGTGAAACGTCAGAATTCAAATAAAATATGGACTTTTTTTAAACTGAACGATCTGCGTTGTCTAAAAAAAGATGAAAATCTTCCATATTTATGTTTATCCCAAGCACAAAATTCGCGAAAGATGCAACTTTAAAGGTTAAAGATTTTAAGGATATAAACGTTTTTCAAATTATCCACGTGTTATGTTAAAAGAGAAAGATAAAAATCCTCGTAAATTGTTTTTGTTTCGCGTAGGCAAAATTCGCAAGGAGTGAAATTTTATTCGTAACAAGCCTCGAAGGTTAAAGAGAACAAAAGTATGTATGAATATTTATAAAATATAACGAATGATTCTAATTGTAATAATTATCAAAGTATTCTTACAGTGAACAAAAAAATATCGAACTTAAGAAATCGAAATTTGATTAATATTACTAAAGTTTGATGCAGAACGATCTATCGTCACTCTATTTCTTTAATTATATTTTCAAAAACTATAAAATTTTGCATAAACATCCACAGTCTAAATTATTATTGTATTTTCCAAAAGAAAAAAAAAAAAAAGAAATTCCAGACTTCTTGTTTCATCTGCAACACTACCTACTATTTTCAGCTGACCACGTTTCTAAGGATAAAAATATAGAGCAAGTTTAGACACCGTGGTGCAGCTATTCAGCTGACTGTTCAACTATAGCGCGATTACTCTGCCGACTAGCGATCAGTCAGCTGTCTCTTTATCTAATATCGCATTTGTTTTACTCGCTTTGTTCCCTCAGTCGACCGAATAGAGTCAGCTATACCACGATTTAAACCAACTCGCTATGGTTCTACCCTAACCTTCCCACATTACAAGGCTTCCACGAATACTCCAATAACAATGCATACGATAAGCAAAGCACCCTCTACCTAGCCATACAGGATAGCACGCTTTATAAGCAAGCTATATCAGCTTCGTAATTTATTGAAATGTCCAGCTCTGTATGTACGTTCTCTACGTAAGGTCAAAAGCGTAAAGAAAGTATCGTGTCACGATGGGTGGTACCCCGAGCCTCTATCTATCTTTAGCAATGGCAATCGATGCGAATATGGAAATGATTGCCGGCTATTCGGCGACCATCAGCTGGTTTCCGTGGAAACCAGATGGGGGCGTGTGTCGTAGGTCGTTGAGCGTAGGCTTGTCATCGAGTCCATCCGCGTGGACGTGCAACAGCCGAGGAGGGAATGCAGGTGAAGGACTTCCACGTAGCTCGTCCGCGGCGATTCGCTTCCTTATCAGGCGAAGAAACGCTCGGAATCCCGTCGATCGCGTCCTTCCCCGATATTCTACTCGTGAACGTCCTTCGTCCGTGATAAGGAATTCCTCGTTGAAGGTTAATGGGATGTACTTAACCGGTGACTCGTTCTTTAACTACTCTGTTTTACCGTGTCCTCTGCCTGTTGCTCCGCGTCGAGTGTTTGATACAACGGGCGAGATAATACAGCTGGTAACGTAACAGACGAGACAATGCGCACGTGCGTTTAAGTTCAAATGTTTCAATCCTTACGCGTTTTTTCCTCGCGTCAGTTTCAATACACTTTCCTTGTAAAATGTTCTATTGTTTTCGCGACGTGAAATGTAGATCTCGAGTTGCATCGAATTAGCAAGCTCCGATTCCGCGAAGATACGCGAAATCTCAATCTTTTCATATTATTATAGATGGTTAAAGATTGAGTTTGCATGCACCCTCGTTTATAAATACACACGTATAATATTATAATTGAAAGTTTTTATGAACGTAGAATTATGAATTTAAATCATCTTCAGATTTCTAATCAATTAACTCGTCTTTTCTAAAATTCAGTTACATCACGAACGATAAATAAATAAATAAATAAATAAAAAATTACTGACAGCAATGAGAAAGTTCAATTCGCCTTGAACTCGCCGAACAAACAAAAGAATAAAACAGAATCACTCCATAAAACAGCACAAACTAGTTTGGACATATATTTGCATTTCGCTGACATCTCTGGGTAAATCGTCGCATTCTCTACAATACCAGCAAGTATATTCCAGTATCTCTAAACGCGGATAAGGTCCCTTACTAGCGTCGTAAAATTGGAAAACACCGTCGACGAGGGTGTAGCAGGAATCCCGGGTTCTATTTCTATCTTATGGTTAAAACAGTCTCGACGATGGTGCCGTGACGTGGGTGTGTTGTATAGGTGCTGTCCCCAGCACGGTAATTGATTGGGGGAAAAAGGGGAGAGAACAACCCTGGATGTCCGCGATACGCGCAGAGAGACACCCATCTTTGTACTCCTACGCCGTCCAATTGAATGACGTCAATCTTTTGATTACTTAAGCTTACGCGATTCGTCCGCCTGCGTTCAAGAGCGGAGGAAAAGCTCGAAACATATTAACAAATTGAAGTTGTACCATAACCGACAACGATATCAAAGGGAATGTCAACTGAACGCACCGACAGCTCTCTCAGTTGCGGATAAATTATGCACGGCCGACAGGGTACTTTTAATTAGATACGATTGGGGCTAAAGGTCGCCGAGCATATCCGCAATTACCGCGCCGACGATCCCAAATATAATTCGAATCGGTCCGGCCTGTACGTACGGCACTGATTGATCCTCATCAAGAGTTTAATCTTTATTTTTATCTTTTCCTGTCTGTCGTTTGTTTCAGGCGAACTGTACGTAGAGGATCTAGGTGAGAGGAGGATCGTATCCATTAGAATGGGATGGCTCTGGGTCGAGGGTACTCCCAGGCTCCCGTTGAGGGCGTTGAACCTACGACAGGCAGCACCCAGCCTCTGTCAACCACACGCGTTGGCTCTTGGCTTCACGCTCAGCAACTCGCAGGATCACACCCTTGCCACTTTTTGGGTAATCTCTTCATTTCTCCATTCTTCTTATTGAATCCAGCGTTAGTTGCCAACTTTATGCTCATATCGAATTCCCAGAGGAAAATTTGGGAACCAACGTGTAATTGGCTTATTTGTGGTCATCAAATACAATTATCTTTTGTTCGTTAACTTACGAATGATCTTCTTTGAAAGGAAGTAATGTATAAAATATTCAGATGCGTGAAACAGTTTCTTCGTTAGAGCTTCGTTTCTCTAATTCCATTCATAAAAACACGAATTTGCACAAACTGATTGGAAGTAAAATAAAATGATAAAAAAAAAAAACTTAGTGATAATAAAAAAAAGCTTAACATCGTTAGTATTACGGTTAAATTGGCGTCAAAAATTCGCGGCTCAGTTCTGCGTTTTAATACGGAAGATTTTCGGTGCGTAATTCGAGGAACAACAGTATCGGAAACCTGGACATAAAATAAAGACGTGGTGGCGAGATAGAATAATTCGCCGCAACACGCAATGTAATTGCATGTAAATGGCTTTTATCCGCTGCACGATCCGTTTCCTCGCCCGCAAACACTTTCTCGCCTTGGTCACTCGCTCCTGCTTTGCTAAACGCCACAATTTCTAATTACGCTTTGCCAGCGTCGCGATTCGATTTCTATCCACTTATACAATCCTACTATCCATCGAGAGTTTCGATTCATCTAACTCTGATTCCTTTATTGTCTACTGTAACATTAATATTTTGATGACTTTGGATACTTGAAAAAAAGTCGCAAGAGTAGCATACTTATTCTCTATTCAAATAACCTCATTATGATCAACTCCGTAAATTAAAACGTACGAAAAACGGAAGCATTACATTGCTATTCTTCGTCGGAATTCATGATTATTTGTATAACTCATCGACATAAGTTACATATCTTTTGACAAACTGGCTGAATTAGTAATTACGTTTTGGAACAATGAAATCGAAAAATTCACCAAAGTCGAGTTAATTCGTTCAGCTTCTGAGAATCGATAATATAACGACAATCGATATAATAAAAGAAATGGGGATCAATGGGAAATTCGCGAAAGTCGATGGCTGATGAAGATAAGGAAAAGACGCGAAGGACGCGAACAGGTGACGTAACTTGCATCCGTCCGAAGGCGCGGAAGGTAATAAGGTCAGTAGGCAAGGTCAAAATCTGCCGGCGCGATCACGACGATAAGCGTACGCGTGGGAGATCCGCGCGCCATTCTCCCATGACCCGGCATTGTCAAGGAGTCCCACCATCCTCCTTTCTTGGCAAACGAGTTCCTTCGCCTCCTCACGTTCCTTTGCCTTACTGACGTTAAAGGACGTTCTTTCGCCCGGACAAGCCTCGTATCGCCATTTACGGATCTTAACAATAGTCGCGTAATTGAGTCGATAGCCGGCCAAGAGATTTCTAACCTCGGTTTTCGTGAATATTTCAAGAATAATTATGCCACAGCACCTTCACTCTCGGAGAGTTTTGTAGCTACTTGTACCGAGATGGCTAAGCCAGATTTCATTTCATCTCGATTCCTTCGAGGAAGCAAACTTGCAATCTCGCAATCGTCCAACGAGAAAGTTAT